TCAGCCTCTGTCCTGTCTCAGAGCCTGGAGACCAGTGACTCCCCTCTCAGTGGCCGCCTCCTTACACTGGATTCTCCCCTCCCTTTCTCTCCCCTACTCCTTTACACTTCCCCAACACTTGTAAATATCTGTCCTATATTTCTTGAGTGATTCTCTCTTTAAAATATATGTGGAACTTTTTTTATAAAAACCCCTGAACCTTGCCCCTGATCCAGGATCCAGCTCGGTGTACTTTGCTGTTGTGGTTGCTTGTTTTAATTTTGCTTAGTGATCCCAGGCTGAGGAACTGACCCCTGGATTCTCCGGATGCTCCACTTGCTTCTCGGAGTTGATCCGCCCTCCCGCACCCTTGCAACACCAGAGAAGCAAGGACCGTCAGGCTCACAGCCACACTGCCTCTGCCAGATCCTGCCTGTCCCATCCTCGTGCAAAGGCAAAAAGTATCCTTTGCTGCAGATACCTTATTCACATGCCCCATGGGCCCTTTCCTGCCGCCACCACACCACCTCCCTAAAGGACTTCTGTGAACTTCAAGATGGAAATAAGACCTTACCTCCTCCTAGCAGGCTGCCCTGGCTGGCTGAGCAATTAGGCATGACTCTCTTCTAACTTACACTCTGTGGATGCCTCTGACAGTCTGTCTCTCGGTACTTAATAATCCATTATTCCTATATCCGGAGACCTCAATAAATTGTGAGCTCTTGAAAGAAGAGTTATATGTTCTTCATTTCAGGAACTGCACAAGCCTAATGTAGGCCTGCCCTGCATATGGCTGGCATTCAGTAACACACCAGTGAGGGAGAGAAGGCAGGGAGAGAAGCTAGTGAAGGTAATCTGATGAGAAGTATTTACTGTCATCCTCCAGTCTTCCAAGGATAGAATGTTTTACTAAGCCTGTATTTGGAACTATAATAAAAGGAAATAGCAGACAATGTAAAACCCCAAAACAACTCGCCATTTTATAGAAAAAAATAAATTTCCAAAAGATACATGTTTAAAAAGTATGTTCTCTTTAATGTTTTAAGAATAATTTTATTGAGAAATGACAATGAGACAGTTTCAAAACCAATTACTAGCACAGTTTCAATAATTAATACATTGCACATTGTTGTCTTAGTGCTTATTCATTGTATAAGATGCAGACATGATATCCTATCCACAGACACTATTACAACAAATCTCTCTATTCATTGAATTAAGAGAATGCAGCTGTATATCTATCCTAACTATTTTGAATACACAGACACCAAATGGTCATTCATTTGTATCCCCTTTTTTGTTTAATTTTGTCAGAGATGGGTATTCCATTGTCATTGAAATATTGTAGGTGCATGAATTTAGCAAAATATTCCAATATAGTCCTGTAGTCCATAATAGTAGTTATCCGTGGTACTGGCAATGTCAGAAGTTGTTCACTTGAGCCTTCTACAGCTCAGCATATTAATATGGCTTTAGTGTTTATACTTCATGTTTATACTTTTCTGCTGGATGGTTAAGACCAAGATAAAGCAAGATCTATATAACGAAAAGTGTAACCTTTGTATCTGCCAAGGTCAGTCAAATCCTCTCAGGATTTATCCTGAAACCTTGTACTGAAGTTTGTAGATCCTTTGTCACTGTCAGCCATCTGGATGAGTCACGGCCATTGCCTGGCCAGTTTGTTGTCTGTGAAAGCCTGAGAGAATGTTTTCTCTCCATGTGACTCTCCCCTTAGGCACACTTTACATCATCAATCACTTTCCTCTGTGGCCCCATAATCTCCTTAATCAGAAAACTTGGGACACAACTGAGTTACATGATGTTACAGTACAGGTTCTCCTATGTCCTGAGTCTTCACTGACCTTGAAAGACTAGGGCCAAAGTGTTGGCTGTCCTTGCAGTCCTTCTTTTTCTCTAATTTTTGGTCTGCAAACTTAGGTTGTTAACCCTCCAGAAGAGAAGCTTATTATTATTACCCTACAACATAGGCAGTGGGGCTTAACTTCACTATCTGTCTGAATATCAAATATCTTAGGAATAACATGGAACAGGTATTTTCCTTCAAGTATTAATATGTTAAACCTTAAGTCCCTACAGAATATGAGGAAAAAAAAATAAAAAATAGAAATAGTTTAAAAATAGGAATGAACAGTTACATATTTTACACAGAAATTTAGAAATCTAATCATATACAGCATTGTAGCAGGATAGTCCTGGGACATCTTTTTTTTTCCTGTCTCTTGTTTTCAATAAAAAGCATTTTCAAAATATATTTCTAGTCATCTCCTTCATTTTAGCCCAGAAAGACCCACTGAAAGATAGTAAATCTCTGGTAAGGCCAAATTTGTAGTTATTTGTTATAACAGAGAGAGAGAGAGAAAGAGAGAGAGAGAGAGAGAGAGAGAGAGAGAGAGAGAAACTGATACAATGGCCATAAATATGTTCCCAGCATACACTCAGACCTGCTAGGGAATGCTTTCTGTTTTAAATTCCTGTCACCTGCACTAGTTATATTAATGTGAAATAATAATTGATTGTCTTGATGACCTTGACCCATTATAAGATCCTGAATCATCCATAAAAACATAAGCTGTTGGTCATCCAGTACTTAACTCAGTCTCGAACGGGTGATACTATTTGATCCACGTACCAGACAGAGTGCACTGTGGCAAAGAAGCAATGTGTGGAAGGTGCATGCAGGGCCCCTGACTTTATACTATAGCTTACATCTGAATAGGTTAGAGTCCAAAACTTTTGCGTTTGCTACACTGGCCATTAGTCTTTTCTATCTGTTGTGTTTCCTACTAAGGTTAGGAGCAGGAGAGAAGTCTTTGATGTTTTCATCAAAGCAGCAATGAATCCAAAATAACTGGACAAGTAATACTTGTTGAGTTAGCAATTTTATGGGCCTCTCTTTTAAAACATTTCCTAATATGTTTGTTATATATATAATAAATGTGATCTTGCTACGTACGCTTACACGTATCTTGATTCTTCTTAGTGTCCCTTTCCCTTCACTCCCTCCCATCTCCCTGGTCCCCAGGTCACTTTCCCATATCCATGAAGTCTGGCTCCCTGTTTCATATCATCTTCTATTTTGCTCTCCAAAATATTTATAATATAGTTGTCTCACATAAACTATGCAATATTTAACTTTGTGTGTCTTATTTATTTCACTTAGCACTATGGACTCAAGGGGCATCCACCTTCCTGTATATAACTCAAACTTGTCCCTCTTTATGACTTCAAAATGTCTAGAGAAAGATGAAGGAAGGAAAAGAAAGACCAGCATACCAGTAGTGAACTCATACATTTTAAATTATCCACTGAATGTTAAAAGACAATCTGGGTTAGTCCAAAGTTAGCCGGAAATGATATAGAATTGATATTTCTCATTTTCTGAACTTTTGTCTCAATTAGTATTTTAGCATACTAACTGTGCAAGCTAAATTGTGGTGGATTGACAACTGGTAGTCCACTTGTAACACCCAACTGAAGTGAATCAGTGTGGTGCTGGACGTGGAAGGCCCACCTGAGCATTGTTGAACAAATTAAAAGAACCGGAGAAGAACAAGAGGTGCTCTTAGGAAACTACTGCCTCTTCTGGGGTTGTAGGTTCTCCGGGAGGAGCTTGTCATGCTGGGTTTCCTAATATGAACTCAGCAGCTCTCATTATCATTGAAGGAGCTCTGCCTTGTCACTGAGAATGGCTGTGGTTTGCTCTGGTCCTTACTTTGAGCATCGCTTCCTGGCTCCAGAAAGGAAGAGGGTGCACACTGTTCAATGTCCTGGAGAAACTTGTTGCACTGGCTTTTCTGATAAGGAACTCTGTTCTTGAGACCTCATTGTCGCTGAGGATGGCTGGGATACTTTACAAGGAAGCTCTGATCTTTACTCTGTGTTATAGTTTGTGTCTAGTTGTCCTCTCAAAGTCTCACGCAGTCATGGGGCAGACTTTTAAAGTTTATGATTAACTCATGATCTACTGGGATTATGGGCATGAGTGTTACTGGGATTATGGGTATACATATTCCTGGGATTATGGGTGTGAGTACTACACCCAGCTGGGGTGGATAACCTGAGTGCAACTTAAGGGAAACAGACTTGCTGTATGTAGCCATTGTTGCCGCCACTCCCTTTGCGCTCTGCTCTTAGTCCCCTCCTTGAAAAGTTGCTCTCTGCCATGTGCTGCTCTGCCATGGAGCCAGCTGAGTGTGGACTGAAACCTCCAGTAACTGTGGGCACCTTGCCTTCCTTCATTATGAGTGTCCAGTATTTGTCCCAGTAACAAGAGGAGGGTAACCGAGACACTTTGAATGTCACTTACCAGCTCCAGTGCAGATCCCTCAGGCTGCTGGCATAGATCCTTCATCCCACTGGCACAGATTTTCTAGCTTCCACTACAGACCTTTGGGCCTTCCCAGTGCAGATCCTTGAAATACACATGCATGAGACATTGTTGTGGGCTCTTAAGTCTTTAGCTAGACTCATGCAGGACGTTGACATGAGATTCAGGCCTTCAGCTAAATTCTTTAGGTCTTACTATTAGGACAGATTTCCTGCACTCTTTGTATTTCACTCTTTTGATGACTATTATTTAAAAAAAATCTGTCCGGGGAGATGTCTCAGTAGAATAAGCACTTGCCTGTCAAGCTCAAGGGCCTGAGTTCAATCCCTGGTTCTGAAAAAAAAAAATCTTACAAATTATGTGTCCTGTATTCTTTCCCTTGCACATCCTGCCTACAACACCATTTATTGCTTGGGGCTTCAAAAGCTCTATTTTAGCCACTGTGATATATTTCTTCTCCTTGCCCTTCCATAGAAACCGACTAAGAGCCAAGAGACCCCAGAAAGTTGGAGCACAAATTTAAGCTTCTTTACTGACCAGCTACTTAAAAAAACACCTTTTAAGTGTGGGGCAATAATAAGCTTCCTAATGTTTCAAGAAGGCATTAAGCAGAATGACTTACCAGGCCAGTGGGAACTAGCAAATAACAATCCATTCCATGGGACAGAGCCACTCACGACCAGTCTGTGATAAGAATCCAGAGAGGGCTGAGGTAGACTTGGCTGCCTTGTCTTTGCCTCCCCAGTCAAGCAGGTCATTCCTCGTGGGAAGGCGTAAGTGAGGGCAGGAAGGGGCCATGAAGGTAACTCTCAGGAAAACTCTTAGATGAGGGAAAGGAGAGGAAAAAGGAGTCAAATTTCTCCACCTGATAATTACTTCTAAATGACAGCAAATAAAGCTATGCTATAATCAAGCCAACTAAATAATTACATCTACAGAATGTTGGAAGCAAAATTGGCAACAGCTCACTAAAGAACTGTCACTCCCAAAGCATGGTGGAAACAGCAGCCTCTGTCCTCCTGTGATGAGACGCAGGCTGCGTCATGTTACTGTGTAGCTGTCCTGTGGGGACACCCGCAAGTGCTAACTCTGTCCCTGAAACTAGAGCCAGTTCGAAGTTACTCCCATAACAACATTATCTTTGCTTCATTTCAATCTTCTTGGGAGAAATGGGGGAGGAACCGCAGGGAGCATTCCAGAAGTCACACATAGCTCATTCTGCCTAGTCTGTAAAGAGCTCACAGTGACAGACATTAACAATGGCAGTCGTACTTGTGACAACTGTGGATAACTGACATGCTCACGAGTGGTTTCTCTGAAAGTTACTTCTTCTAACTCAAATTTGATTGAAAAAGTAAATGAATTCTTTAAGTAGTATATTAGCATGACCCGTAGGCAAGAACAATCCTGCAAGGAGCTTTCGGGTTAATGCCAGAACTAGCATAAAGTAAAAGCAGACCATGTGGTAGAGCTCATGAAGTATGCAAGACAAGGCAGATGTGGTGGTGTGTGCTTGTGATCGCAGCATTTTGGAAAGTGCACAGGAAAACTGCAAGTGTGAGCCCAACCTGGGCAACTTTGAAAAACTCTGTCTCAAAAATAAATAAATAAATAAATGAATGAATAAATAAATTAATGACTGGGGAATATAGCTCAGGAGAAAGGTATGACCAGTATCACCAAATGCAAAACAAAGAAATTTGTAAGAATGGTATCATTTAAAAGGTTAATCAGGAGCTTCTTGCTACCCTGCGCTGGCGGGACCTGTCCCAGCCAAGGTGCAGCGTGGGCCAGTCCCTCTCCCACCCCCTCGGGCCACCCCCCACCACTCCGCCTTACCTCCCCCACCCTCCAGCCCAGTAGGAATTTCTGCCGACTTCCGGGAACCCCCAGACCCAGTCCTAGCCAAGGTCCGGTGAGTGTGTAGAGAGCTTCCTGCTGCACTGCACCGGCAGGACCAGTCCCAGCCCTGGCGCAGCATGGGCTGGACCCTCTCCCACCCTCTCGGGCCACCCCCCAACACTCTGCCGTACCTTCCCCACCCCTCCTTCCAAGTAGGAATTTCTGCTGACTTCCGGGAACACCCAGACCCAGTCCTAGCCCAGGTCCGCAGC